TGTCCAGAACATAGGTAAATGACATGTTACAGAGATGATTCCAATAGCTGTCCCAAAAGCTGCCTGTAGTTGGGGGCCAAACATTTAACATGTGATCCTGTGTCCGAACCATGAGTAGAGAGAACCTAGTACATGGAAAGAGAGATGGCTCAACAGGGAAAGCACTTGCCACTCAAACCTAAGGATCCGAGTTCTGATCCCTGGAACCCATGTGAATACCAGACAGTAGGAAAGCATCTGTGATCCCAGTGCATCCCTACCAGAAGGTGGGATGCAGAAACAGGAGAATCACAGAAACTTGGGCCAGCTCCCCTGGCACATGCAGCAGAAAAACAAGAGATCTTGTTTCAAACAAGGTGAAAGATGAGGACCGACACTTGAGGTTGTCCTCTGACCTCCCTATGAACACACAGGAACACAGAGAAAGAGAGACACACAAACACACACACACAGAGACAGATAGAGACAGAGAGGTAGATAGAGATATATAGAGAGACAGCAAATACAACATATTTATGGCTATCATGTACCCATTAAAAAGCATGATATCCTGTCAGGCCTAGTGGGACATGCCTGTAATCCTAGCACTATGAGCTCTAAAAGGAGAAGAATCATGAATTGAAGGCCAGTGTGGGATGCATAATAAGGACCTATCTTAAAACAAAACAACAACAACAAAATGTTATCCAGGGTTGGAGAGATGACTTAGCAGTTAAGAGCACTTGCTGCTCTTCCAGAACAGCCAAGTTGAATTCCCAGAACCCACATCAGGAAGTTCACAACCATCTGTACCTCCAGCTGCAGGGGATCTGATGTCTCTGGCCTCCTTGAACACCTGCATTTGTGTACACATACCCACATGTAGACACACACACACACATACACACACACACACACACACACACACACACACACACACACTTAATAAGCTAAATGTGGAATAATAATAGGGGAAAATGGGAAGTTGGAGAGCAAGCACCAAAACACCAGGAGTTCGAAAAAGTAAATCGATAGCACAGTGGGTATCTGTAGTCACAGTAGCCTAGTATGCATTTTATAAATAACTCTGAGGAATTTAACACAATGATAAGGAGATGGACAATTAATCACCCTGAGTTGATCATTACATGTGTATTGAATTATCACACTATGTGCATTAAATGTGTACAATTAAATAATAATGATTAATCAAAACTTTTTTTTTACCAGGTGTGGTGACACATATCTATGATCCCGGAATTCAGAAGGCTGAGGTAGGATTGGGAGTTAAAGGATAGCCTGGCTTCACACTGGCTTTGTCTCAAAAAACAAAACAAAACGTTTTTTAAAAAATACAGGTAGAAAAAGTAAATTCTAAGGCTCTGTAGCCATATAGAAGGGTGAGTGCTGCTCACAGTCATGTGTTATGGAGTCCACAATAGTTCCCAACAGGTCCTATTCTGAAAGAAAATGAAAAGCAAGTGACTCTGGAGCCTGCTCACCAACCGGGAAAGCTAAAGGCCAAGTATGTGTTGAAATCCTCTAAATCTGAAAGTTCAAGGCCTCTGCTCCCTCTCTATTTGGCTGTTTGTGTCCATTGATTTAGAAGATTTCTTTACCCTGGATAATTCTTTACTTTGATTTGGGTACACATATTACAAATATCTTTTTCTGGGTTGTGGCTTGCCTTTTCATTTTATTTTTGGTACATTGGAGGAGAGAAATTCTTAACCTTAATGGAGTGAATGTATTGATTTTCTCTCTTCTGGTTTGCATTTTTGATGCCTTAGGAATTCAAGGTCAGAAAGCTACTTAAACATTGTAATAATGCTACTTTCCTCCATGTTTTCCCAAACATTTTAAACTTTAGCATTTCCGTGTATGTCAGCAATCCTTCTGGATTTTGTGCGTGGTATGTATGTTCGTGCTTGGTTTATACTCTAGCTATTATAGTCATGAATGAGATTGCCCTTCATTTCTCCATTCCCATGTCATCCTCTTCTGGTTTGGGGTTCAGAATCATACTAGCCTTATACAATGAGTTGAGAACACGTCAATGAGGAGCTTTGCAGTGAGCAGGGGCATGATAGCAATAAGAAAAATTCAAGAAAGCTGGGTGGTTGTGGCACATGCCTTGAATCTTAACATTCAAGAGGCAGAGAGAGGTAGATCTCTGAGTTCAAAGCCAATCTGGTCTACAGAGAGAGTTCCAGGATAGCCAGGGCTTCACAGATGAACACTGTCAAGAAAAGAAAAAGAAAAGAAAAGAAAAAGAAGGGAGGGAGGGAGGGGAGAAGAGAGAGAGAGAGAGAGAGAGAGAGAGAGAGAGAGAGAGAGAGAGAGAGAGAGAGAGAGAGAGAGAAGGAAAATTCAAGATTGTTGATCTAAGCAGAAAGTCTACATAATGCTGAGAATGCAACGGAACCAGGGGACACAGGTGACAGGGAAGTCTTCTTCGGGTAGCAGTACCCATGCCAGCACTGCTAAGCAAGAACAATGAGGAGGATGGAACAATCCAGAAAGAGTCAGGCAGTGTCAAGTGGCCACTTTGTGGAGGGACTAGGAAACAAATGCTGTATTAGCACTCACCCCTTGACCTCTCTCTTATGATTGGTTGGCTAAATTCAAGCCTCATTGATGTAATCTGCAATGCCCTGGGGAAAGAGTAGTAGAGAGGAGAGGAATTGGTAGACCCAGAACCAGTAGGAATATAGATATACATGTGTATACATATTTACATATACATATGGAGATACCTGTTGTGCAAGATTGGCTTATGTAATTATTATGGAGGCTGAAAGTCAACAGTTTGCCATCTGCAAATTGGAGATCTATCAAATCCTTCAACATAAAAAAAATCACTAAAATGAAAAGTTATGGCACTACAGAGGCTATGAAAGTGACGCTTATTGGACAGAGATGGACCCAGAAGTCCGAGGCCACTGTATTCAGTCTTAGCTGGAAGACACATGTCAGTCCATTCATGTCTTTCACCACTCTGAATATGTTTACAGTGGCTGCAAGAACATCACAAGTGTTAGAAGTAAGTGAATTTATAAACATGGAATATAGAAATAATAAGTATTGGCTGTATCCTCAATGCCAATTATTCCAATGCAGAGCAAGTCTGTAGAAAACTCAGTTCTTTCAACTGATCAGAAAGAGCTGCTAGCATTCTCTTAAGTCAACTGGTGACAGAGTGTTGCAGATAAGAGCAATTTCCCTTCTTTTCAGGACAGATGTGAATATTTACACAGGAGCCAAATTTCATACAACTCAACTATGCCTCCTCGAGAAAGAGTTACATAAATCTAATGTGCTCAACGATTGGCAGTTAACAATTATAGTCATATCTCCTGAGTGCTTTGCATTGGAAATGTTCCCTCTTCAATGATGCCCCAAAGGCTTGGCACACAAAAAACATAAACTACAAATCTGCACCTTGATGATGTCTATGTATTTTTAAGTTTATGGATGAAGATTAAATGGGAAAGCATATGTTAAAAGTGAAAGAGCGGTTGGGGGATGCCTCTGTGGATTAGAAGCTTGTGGTACAAGCATGGGGATGAGTTTGGATCTGCATCATTCATATCAAAATCAGGCACAATGGTGTGTATCTGTAACCTTGATGCTGGGGAGAGAGTAGGGGATTGACAGGAAAGGCTGATTCCACTCACCCATTGGCTGGCCATCCTACAGTCTAGCCTAAGCAGTGGGTTATAGTTCAGTGGGAGACCTTGTCTCAAAAATAAGATGGGGAACAATTAAGGAAACATTCAGCCAGTGTCAACCTTTGGCCACCACATGCATGTACACATTCTCATTATCTCTCTCTCTCTCTCTCTCTCTCTCTCTCTCTCTCTCTCTCTCTCTCTCTCTCTCTCTCTCTCTCTCTCTCTCTCTCTCTCTCTCTCTCTCTCTCTCCAGTTGTGTCTGCACACCCTTTGGCTGCATCTGCAAGGACTTTGAACTGTCTTGCCTTGTTCTCTGAAGATAGGCTTCATTTCTTTAGCTATGTTTTGCTTTCCAGTCCCCACAGTGTATCCATGAAGAGTTCCAAATCATCAGAAACTCTCATTTGGCAGTGATTCCACTTGCCTCACCACCTCTACATTAGCACTGCCAAGCCTCGATGGTCTAGACATTGTATTAAAAAACAGCTCCCTCTGGGACAGGCCTAGAAGACATTGGCACAGGATTGCATCTATCTATGGATATTTAGTAGATTAAAAATCTTCCTGGCAGACAGGAATTTTGTCAAGATCCACCCACTGTGGCCAGCATTATGTAAAGGATAAAGGAGTTCACTGGCTCATAGCCATTTAATAGAATTCGGTCAATAAAATGAGTGGATTATGGATTATGCCTACACGGAAGAGATGCAACTCATTTATAAACAAAAGGACCAATAGAAAGTTGCATTTTGGGGACGCTTAAAAACAACCCTGAATTTATGTTGGGGAAGATGATGCATTTTTAACGCCTTGCTCTCAGAAATTAAAAATAACTCTTTTGGCCAGCTGTTGCTCCTTTTCTGAGAGAGTTGGGAGATGGGGCACCACATGGTAGACGAAATTGCGCTGAACTGCTGCATTGGATTACGTTTTGCAGTTGCAGTACCTGCATATGGGTTGAGCGTTCGCGGTTTTTTTTTTTTTTTTTTTTTTTTTAACATTCCCTAGTCAATCGTCTATCCATTGCCAGGTCTCAGTCATGGTCAGTGATTCCTGATGCTGCATATTTTAGGTTATCTCTCCTGGAAGCCACCGGTCATTTTCTAATTCCGCACTACTTAAAACCTTGAAGTCCACCTTGGCCCAAGACCCCTCCAGAGGGCCACGCCCCTTCTCCCTCCTCCCAGCACCCGGAGAACTCAGGGTCCTCAAGACAGGCTCCCGGCCGGCCCTGCCCAGCAGCCTTCTGGGAACTGTAGTTGTAGCTTCTGACATAGCTGTCACTATAATGGAGTCTAGGACTACAGCTCCCTACAGGCCCCACGCACCGCGCCTGCGTGCCGGCACCTGCTGGAGGAAGGGTTAAGTCGTCCTGGGAGCATCGCAAGTCGACGGAGGAGGCTTTGGCGGCTGCGGGCGACATGGACAACGCAGGGAAGGAGCGAGAAGCGGTCCAGCTGATGGCGGAGGCCGAGAAACGAGTGAAGGCCTCCCACTCCTTCCTCCGAGGACTGTTCGGGTGAGCGCCAGAGTTCTTGCCCTTAGGGTTCTTGGTGCCTGGTCCTCTGCCCAGCCGGCTGCCACCGCAGAGTGCCCCGCGCAACTGCTTAGGTTTCCTGGATTCCCACATCCTTCAGAACACATCCAAGTGGCCCACGTTCAGCCTTGGGTCCCGCAGCCCCTAGGGGCCATCGCATCCCGTGGGCCATGCCTAGGGGGCTCTAGTCTGCACACACTGCAAGCCCCAGAACCTTTCAGGGATCCTCAGACCTTGGGCACCCCCGCCTCCCCCCCACCCCACCCCACCCCACCCACACGCACGAAGAACCGGTAGCTCTCACCCCCCCGGGCACCCTTTAACAGCCCAGAACGCCTACACGCCCCCGGAGACTTCTGTGACACCCCCCCGCCCCCTCGCGTCGCCCATGGTCCGGTGTTGATGCCAGGGTCCGCTGCTCCTCTGGGAACGCCACCTTCCTGGCGGACCGGATTCATTAATTTATCCTGGTCCGGGCCTTGTATCATCTGGGGGAGCCAGGACGGGTAGGTCCTGGAACTCAACCTGGCTCCTAGCAACTGTTAGCACCTCACAGGGAGCGCGAGGTCGGCGCCCCTATATCCTGGGCACTTGGCGGCTAGCCTCAGCCCACGGGCCTTACAGGATGGTGTGTTTTTCTTTTGCCTGAGAGATTTGTATTCATAGCCCGGGCCTCCTGTTTGATGGACCGTAACATTGCCTCTGTTTAAAGTCAGTATCTTTTGGGATTCCCGTGATTTCGTCTTAACAGGCTGTAGTAGCGAAGGCTTTGCATTCTGAGCTTTCAAAAAGCAGAACCTGAACTGAGAGCTTGTGGAAGAATTCTGGGCTGTTGATTATGCGAATGATTCAGCTGTTTATGACAGCGGCAGAAATTACGTGTGTGCCTCTTTTTTTTTTCCCATTTGAAAGCGAAAGATCTTTACTAAGAGCAGATTTTAATTATCGGGAAGGACTAGTGGTACACACTTAACTGCTGCATTATGAGACACAATTTTATTTCTGTACAAATTCAATTTGGATGCTTAGTTCTGAAAACACGCCCAATGAGCTTTGACTTGCTTTTTCCAATTTCATTCATTTGACTGCTAATTATAATATACGTTATTATGTAACAGTTTAGTGAAACCCCGTTATGTTTCTATCTCCAGGAAATGCTTAGGGTCACTTTGATACAGTGCATGGTAGCATGGTAGCCAAGATAAAGAGGAGACCATCCTTGGGGACCTCTAGGGGCATTTATCACTACTAGGTCCTAAATTTCTCATGTAATATGAGGCTTGAAACAATAGCTGTAAGTTACGGATACTCTATTTCCCCTTTAAAAGGGACAAAGAACATTGCTTTGTATTTAATGCAGGTGCCAATTACTAATTCCTGTCTATGAGTCACAAAACACATGAGATTCACTGTGTGAAATTTGATGGCAGCGTGCCTCACTGTGGGAGGTGATTTTAATGCACAACGTATTTCAAATCAGGATGTTTGAGCCAGTTATGGACATTTCTTTTGGTCAAGAGGCCCATTGTTTTGGGGAAACTAGGTCAAATTTTGAGGCAGTCATCTAAAAGGATTTTGAAGAATCTTTATTTCTGAAGAAACATCGTTTTGACTGTTGCTGCTTGTCCGTGACAGGCCATTTAAGAAGACTTTCATCTTCCTTCATTCACCCTCAGTTTTTAGAGTTACTACATCCTACTCATGTAGAAGCAGCAGGTCAGGTTATTGCCATGACTTTGGAACCTGAAACAGGTTAACTTTGCTTCTTTGGGCCTCAGTTTCTTCTGCTATAATCCACAGTTTATCTCGTGATTAGTGATCAGTGAGTTTATATTTTTAAAATACTTAGGTCTATGCGTGCTGGAAACAGCTGTCCGATGATTATCCACATATTCATAAAAGCTGTCAACTCCTCTTATCAAGGAAGCAGAAGGGCAGATGGATTGAGTTTTGCAGGATTTTGGAGCCAAAAGTTTGGTCACTAGTCTTTTAGTAAATAAATACCTTAAGAGTTTTGGCCAGGTCAAGTGTCCTTTGCATTATGAAGACTGGGAGGTTTCCAGCAATATTTGGTCCTGGAAAGTTTAGGGGAAGAAGAATATATAGAGCTTCATGAGATTTATTCTAAGTATGTAGTATTTGAAACCCCAAACCAGACCTATTTCTCTTTGAGTTATAATGGGAAGACTAAGGTTTTGTATCAGAGTTCTATGGTTGTGACATTACGTGCATCTGTCATCACCTTACATGTTTCCCCGCCTGCCTCCCTTAGGTTTTGTCTTTCATTTATGGTAGTGTCATCTATCCCCATGTGATACCCTCAGGGTAAAGGAGAATTAATAATCACATGTCTTGGTTCACCTAAGTATCATCAGAGTTCTTATTTAAGAGATGCACAGGTGATTTTTTGAGCATGTGACTGACATTTGAAAAAGCATTTGGCTTATTGCAGATGTTTCACGTCACTGACTGTTAATCTCCCAGCTGCAGATTAAAGCCTAGCTTGAGTTCATCTCCTGTATGCTGCACAATGCTTTTGTGGCAATACTGTGTTCTCAGTATTGTTCCATAACTCTGACTTTCTGTTGTTGCTTTAGATGGAAATAGGCATGGATATTCTCAAGAGTGGGTCCATTGGATGGTTCCTCGGTGTTTAAGCTACAGGCCTTTTCTGCCTGGAAGCTGGAAGTGGGGAGGGGCATCAGTGCATTTTCTTTCACCAGCAAAATCCCTTGCAGCTCCCCTACAGGAGAGTCATTGAGGAAGGATGCAGACATGTCTGCCACCAGTGTTACTTTTGTTTGGTTTTCTATCAATTCCGGCCGAAGAAAGATGTATCTTTTTAGCTGGGGAGTCAAATTAGTTCTCACTTTTTCTGAAGAGCACAGTATGAAACTACCACTGAAAAAGTCAAATTTCCACCTAGTGCATTGCCAGAGAGGAGCTGTGGAAATATGTAGTTAATTTCAAATTGTAGTTTAGAATCTCAACAAACTGCTAGAATGATCTTAAGCTTGGCCAAACTGACAGTAGGATACTTTCTAATTGCAAAGATCTGCTTGCTCTCTTCATTTGTTGCTAGGGGAACACAGGTTGAGGCTGTCTTACACAGTGCACATTCTATACTTGGGGAATGACAGGACAGTTTTTCTGAGCTACCTTCATTTGTTTGTTTTGTTTGTTTTCATTTTGTTTGGATGCAGCCCCCAGGCCTTGTACATGCTAGGTAAGCATTTATCCTGCTACTGAGCTATATTCCCAGCCCCCGATGGTTCCTTTGCTGAAATGTTCCTCAATCTTGGGGCTAATTAAAGAGCTATATATTTGGTGGTCTCAGTGTAAATTTAGTGACAGATCCTTTTGGGTTACTGCAACTAAGCATGAGTCTATTTAATATCTGTTTGTGAAATTCAAATATTTCTTAGGTTTTTGTAGGCTATATCTATATTCTTCACTTGTTTTTATTCTGGTGAAGATTGTGTTTCCATGTTTAGCATGATCATGTGATAGCCTTGATAGCGTTTACATCGTTCTCAGTTACGATTAATACTTAAATGTAGATTCAACTGTTAAAAAAGTCATTAGTCAGCTGGATTAATGGTGGTACTCACCTTTAGTTCCAGCACTAAGGAGGCAGAAGCAGGTGGATCTCTGTGAGTACGAGGCCAGCCTGGTCTACAGAGCGAGTTCAGCCTGGTCTACATAGTGAGTCCCAGGACAGCCAGGAATATGTAGAGAAACGTCTCAGAAACAAAAAGAGAAAAAGCAACAGAAAAACCATTACCCATGCCTGTGATGCCAGCAATCAGGAGGCTGGAGCAGGAGGGTCTTGAGCTTCAGGCCAGCCTGTCTCAAAAACAAGACAGTGAATGTAGATGACATGTAGGTTACTAACAGAGACAGATGTTACTGTGTAAGAAGATGGGAGTATTTGTGTATGTTTTTTATAATGTAAGAACTAAAATGTGGATAATTGTGTATTATATAGAAGAGAAATAATAATAAATGCCATCACAATCTGTAATTCTGGGATTTTGTACTTTGGATTTTTTTCAGAGATTTCTTATTTCTTGAGAATTACTCATGAGTGGTTGTAAATAATATTGCCCTGTCCTGGTTGACTGTTTGTTTGTTTTTGTTTTTGTCAAAAAACTGATTTTTTTATTTTCTTTATCATTTATTTTTCTCCGTGGCTCTTTTTTTGCAGGGGGGTATTAATTTGCTGTCTCTATTTTACTTATATGAATCTAGTTTGGGTGTGAATTTTTAAACTGCTTTAATTGTGTGCTGTAGAACCTGATACTTGGGGTTTTTATCTTCCTTTGTTTCCTCCTTTGATCCGGGAGTTGTTCTGGGGCATCCTTCTCGGCCGAGGAGCCTTTTTGTGTATTTCTGGTAAATTCCCATCTTATTTCCGTATGATTAGAAAACCATCAGCTCTTTCTTTGCTGCCTACTATGTTATCAGTACTCTTGAATGGTCCTTGTGAGCTCAGAAGAAGGTAGATGTTTTTTCCCAGTTTGATAGAGATCCATAATATCTAACTACTGACTATATAATTAGGACTAGGCCTTTTGTGTCTTTTTTAAAGTATTTGATCTGTTTTTGACTAAGAGAGGTGTGTTAATGTGTACTCTTCATGCGTTTCTCTCTGTGCCTCTCTTGTAGTTTCTGCTTTAAGAAAGTACTGCTTTCATACAAAGATATTCACATCCATTGTGAGCTTTATCTTTAGTATTATAGAATGAACTTACTTATCTTATTCGGTGCTTTTGAGCCCACATTGTACCTTGTCCATTTTTTATTGTGTGCATTCCCTACATTGGAGCTATGTATTATATAAGAAAGGTTACACATTCATCCAGGGGCCATGTGCCCTGTGTCAGCCAGCTCCTCCTTCCCCACGAGCCGCTGTAGCTCCACGACTGACTCTGGGGACGTTCAGTGGAAGAGACATATGCTTCCCCTTGGAAATGCAGGAC